AATTGTCGCCAATGGCTACTTCTTTTTGTTGCAATATATAATACTTCACGGAGAATTGTCGCCTATGGCTTCTTGTTGTATATTTACGGGGGAAGCACCTTGCTAGATAGCCGGTCTCCAAATTTTGCCAAGATCAGACGCATTTCACCTGTTTGTGCCCGTTCGTTATTTCAAACCGGGAGCCAGCTGATGCAGGCATTTTCTTGTGTATGATGGTCATTTACAATGTCTCCTTTACGTCAGTAAAAGGACTGTAACCCTTTTTGTTATATATCGAGAATATGCGTAAGCGTCGGACGAAAACCGCGTTGAGCCGACAGTTCGGTCATGTAAAGGGCCGCCACACTTCACAAGCACAAGTAATGCGCTGGATCAAACCTATCTCATCCTTACATGCCAGGTACGGGGTAGCCTCTACCAGGCACCGCGGATCGCTGGACAAATAGGAGAAACTGGCCGAGATAAAGGAATAGCATACCAGGGAAGTTAGCCGGCCAGAGAGGATCCAATATGCTTCGTACCCTCCGTGGGTGCCTAGTAGAGGATAGGTACAGGCCCGATGCGTCGCGATGTGCGCTGTAGAGGTTTAGCAGCTTACACCGAACAAACAAATGAACAGATCTAGAAATCTACTCCGTAGAGCTCGCTTGGATCGTTCCCTGACTATGCTTCTCCACTAGTTTCCATCTTTCACAGCCACAATGTACCTTTGTCTATTCCTTAAGTGTGCTTGGCCGTGTGGGCCCACAATGTAAGTACTCTTGTCTTACCAAACGAACAAACAGAGGAACTGAACCAAAAATTGAGATTAACGGTCTTGCATGTCTAGGCTGCCCGCTTTAATACCGCTGTATTCAGTGGATAGTCGACACTCCACAAGCACGGGTTGATTGGGGGAATTGTGATCTTCTCCTACGTGCCGTTTTTTGATAGCCTTCCCAATCAAATCAGCTCAGGTGGCCTGGTAGGTCTCTAATCTATTGGATACTGTCTTGCCGGTTAGTTTCCACTTGAAGTCTTTGTCACAGAAAGACCACCTTAGATATCTTAATTACTGCAATCTCCACAATAAAATCAGCTTTGGTGGCCCAATGGATATTCTCTTGCCTATTGGATACTGTCTGGTCGGGTTGTTGCGACTCATGGATTATTCAATTGCTGCAATTTCGAGACCAATTTCGTTGCAGCAGTTGATTGTAATAAGGACATTAACAGCAATTTCCCCCCCCCCCTCCCGGCGAATATGAACTGCGTGCAGATAGAAAACACATATTTTTGTCATAGATACACATGACAAGCAGTCGAATCTGACAAGCAGCCCAAGCGCGCGAATCATAGTGATAGAAATGATGTTTCACTATCTGAGTGTCTTGCAGGAGCTCTAGGCTGTGTTGGTACGTGTAGGTAATTGGGCCGCTTCAGGTGGCGTACTGTACATGCTGCTCATTAAATCCCCCAAAGCGATTTCAAGGCAGTGCAACGTGATTTTGAAAGTCAATTTTCTGGTCAGGTTTAATGTAGTAAGCTGATTTAATCCTATATATACCCGAAGCATACTGATTTCTGCGAGGCAAAAATGAGATGTCGCTGACGGAAAAAAATCATATTTTGTATCGTAGGTTCATTCTAGTTATTTATTGGTGGTGGCACCACAAAATTAAGGGGCCCATCATGTATCTTCTTTTTGGGGATATTTCAAACGGTTCAATTATCAAACAGATGACGAATATGTGCTAAGAAATGGCAGTAAATGTTAATATCAGAACGTTTTTGCATTGCCGCCCTGAAACTGCATGAATTGGTTGAGAGCTTGACTTGAGAAAAGTGTAAGACTGTCTGCTGATGCGTGGGCTGTTGATATATTCATGATTCATGAGTCCTTGTACGCTCGCTCGTCTGAGCAAAATCGCCAAAAGTGGCACCATGCTGACCCCTGCGTGTCTCAGGGCAGAAATCCTGTGGTACCAACTCTACAGTGGAAAATGTCCCTAATTCCCTCGAATCATCGTAAAATGGTGACTTCGAACTCGTCTTCTAATGATGCCTTAATTGCTGACTTGTTGCTGAAGTGTGGAGAATGTGGTGATTCTTTTGTTAAATTCATGTGTAACATGATGTCGTCATTACCAAATACAAGCTTTATTAATACACTACATAGAGTTAGATATAACCTAACCAGCTGTGGGCCTGCGAAGCTGGTGACCAGACCATCGTAGGCTCCCTGGTATCTCTACGGTGCTCGGAGTACTGCCGGCCCGCCCAGATGCATCAGCGCACACCGAGTTTTTCTTTACGGGTCGGTTTCAATTAGATAGCAGTTATCAGAAAGGCCAACTGGAAATATCAACTGAGAAAAGGCCTGTGCCAACAATCTGGTGCAGAAACACTCCATACGACGCCGAAGCTTAAGCTTGAGTGTCAGCCTTTTTAGCTTTCGTCCGCGCCCCACGATCCGCTCGCTAAGTATAGCATGGCCGGTAGCGGATCGTGGGGGGCGGACGAAAGCTGAGGCAGACACTCAGACTACCAATGCCGGCCTGTAGACAATGGTCACCAGGCTTCAAAGCTGGCCGCGATGTCAGGCAATCTAATCTAGTCGTCCTGACTAGGGCGACTTTTCTATCTGATCACGGCTATGCTTGACTTCGTTCATTGAGATTGTTGTTTGGACTTGTGGCGAGATTTTATCCGAGCACTTCATCTAGTTCCTGGTCCTGCTTGTTCTTGTGTTCCTCCTTCAATTTCGTTTGTGTTCTTGCTTATTATTTATTCTCCTATTGTAGCTGTTTGCTACGGTAGGAGCACAAAATATGTGCATGAGAAGTTTTACATATGATTTAAGATCGCTTGTGTAAACCGAATTTATTATCATAGATTATCAGATTAACATATACGTCCATAGAGATTGATTTAGGAGTAGAGAGGAAACCAGATGAAAACTCGCCTATGATGTGGATACCAGGACATCACCCAATGCAGTGGGAAGATCAAGAGGGGGGGTGGACTTTGATGTGTTGGAAATTTCAATGCATGCAGATAAAAGAAAATACGTTTCAGATACGCGAGCCTTACTGATAAAGTTGATGACGGCATTTTTTTCTAGAATGTAACCTTTAACTGGCAAAGTGGTCTTGTGGTTAGGGTTGTTGACTTCGAATTCCTGGAAGGCCTCAGTGATGTGTCCTTGAGATAGACACTTAACACCTATTTTCTCACTTGACTCAGATTAAAATGAGTAATACCAAAGTTCGAATAGTTAAGTAGTCCTCTTGGATAGGAATTAAAGCTGGAGGTCCGTTGTTTGACGAGTCACACCCCACGCACGTTAAAGATCCCACGGCACTTATCGAAAAGAGCAGGGGTCCTTCCCGGTGTGGGTGGTTCAGACCCCACAGTCTCGAATGTATAAATAAACCATTTATCGTCCAATTCTCCGAAAGTCATAGACCCTGTACATCGTACATCCTGACGTCCTTAATTGTGAGTTTTGTCATATTTTATTTCAACACGCAGTCGTACGCTGTACTGTAACAGGAGAGGATTTCAGAAAAATCCAAGGGTTTTAAATCTTCTGACCTTGTGGATAGTTGCGGTGCGGTGTACTCTACAAGCAGAGGCTACCTTTCGTCTTATTTGTGACGTGTTTTAGGGGGTTTTATCCGGCTTTCTATGACTTTGTTGTACTGGTATCGTTGTTTTACGCCAGCCCAGCTCCGGTTGGCAAATGGATACTGCCAATTCGATACTGCCTTTGGAGATCTGCTTGCAGATGAAGTGCGGTTGACTTTTGCAGAATGGAAATAGAATATGTTCTCGTCAAAAGAAGTTGATATGCACTACTTCAGCGTGTTTGTCGATGTGACATGGACATCTGCCGCTGCAGCGTTCTAGTGATGTTGGCATAATGATATACAAATCACGAGAAGAATATTCGCGATACAATTTTTATTTAGCGTTTCATTTCAAACATTAGAAAAAACATCTGGTTATGAAATGACATTCAAGACATGCATTTTCACATGTCCTTTTTAGGACCTTGATTTATTTCAGGTCTTTCAACTCACTCAATCAGATTCTAGCTGGCAGATTTTGAATGAAGAATCGCGAATGGATTATTTGCGTGAACCCGGCAGTCTTGTAGCTGACATTCGCTTCACTCACAAATTTGAATGTAAGTATCAGACAGATTTCCCTATCCAGAAGCTTGATATGAAATTGAATTCCTTTTCGCACAGTGCACGGTACTGGGCTGTTTTAGAAACGGTTGCTGTAGCAGGCGTTAGGGTTTAATCTATCAAAGGTAACACCACAAGCACGAAGGCGTCTTTCCCGCGCTAGCGTGCTGTGCTGTTCAAATTCAATTTTCCTTTTGCAACTGGCAGGTAATGAGAGGACTACATGTGAGCTGATCGTCACGTGGACGTTGGACGTTAACCCAGATACAAGCGGGTGTATTACATAGGCTGTTTGTATGGTCATTGTTGAAGCAGTTTTTACATCTAGTAGGAGATAAACCCAGTTCTCTACACCTCTATAAATGTTCGTTTTCCAGATTCGTACAACACAGTTGAAATCTGATAGCTGTTTCTTTCGTTTCCCCCGAGCACAGAAGGTACAGGCCCTCCGGTTGGCCGGACGGCCGCAGTAGTACAGGATGGAGCCGGAAGATGCGGACATCTTCCAGCCAGACGCGGACCTTTGGTCGGACGGGTTCTTAGACACCAGCTGGAGTAACAAAACAGGTGAGACGGCGTTCGTTTCTTACCTTTACATACTATAATTTTTACGAGTAGTAGCTGAAAAGGATCAAGGTGAACCTTTAGGAGTCATTGTGACAATTTGCCATGGTATTTTGAGATTTAATCCATGCTTCCTTGCCGTTGATCGATCGATTGATTGATTGATCCATCAATATTGATTGGTTGATTGATTGATTGATTGATTGATTGATTGATTGGTTGATTTTTTTATTGACAGGGAACTTTACTGGACCGTACGAAGAAGCCCAGGAAGCCGGAGGGGACCATCTCGGGCCGGAAGCTTGGGTTGTCCCCATGCTCTTCACAATCATCGGAGTTGTGGGCATCTCTGCAAACACCCTCGTCATCTACATCATCACCAAGTACGATAGTCTCGCTAATCATGTACTCCAGAGTAGAATCAATGGGAGCATTATGATGGGAGCAGTTTGTGTAATAAATGTAATGATAAATTCTTTCAATGGATATAATTTAAGGTGCATGTTGGCCCGAAGCTCGTCTATGCTGAAGTCTTAGTCCGGTACTGAAGATCTGACAAGCAGATTCCTTAAAACTTCTCATCACTGTTATCTTCTTATTATTTGCTCTGTTTCGTCTTCTTTCTCTTCAAACACGTAAGGTCAATGACCTGGACCAGACGTCTGTCACCATGGTCAACTGGTGCTGTGCTGTAGCATTACATTATGTAGCAAGTTGCAGGACAGAGTTGGAGAAGCTGGTCACCATATATGAATGTATTTGAGTAAAATATAGAAACAGAGCAGTATTTTGTTAAGCCAAAGCATGTGAAGGTAAACATTATGCATTCGGTTGGGAAATGTTACCTTGCTTCTAGTTGTTTCCTTTTTCTAGCCTCTGTAGCAGGCTTATAGAACTGGGGGTTTGGTGGTATTCGGCTGTTTTCTGATTAGCCCAGTTCTAAAGCCGTAACGGGGGTAATTCAACCAGGACGGCTATGTTGTCTATATGCAATCAGAATATAGCACATAAAAGCTCCCAAAGACCACGAAGACCCCCCAAAACTCCAGTTTTTGGCATGCTATGGAGGCTATCCTTTTCCCCCCTCACAGATATAACGAGATGAAGACGCCGACTAACCATTACATCGTGAGCCTGGCGGTGGCTGACCTGTCGTTCCTGATCTTCTGCTCGCCCTTCACCGCCTACATGTTCGCCACCACCAGCTGGACTCTGGGAAGGAACATGTGCAAGTTCGTCTTCTACGTCATGCAGGTGAGATACTAGCCTCTAAAACACTCATTGGGCTCAAGTCCCAATTCTGTAACCTAAGTGTTGGAAGTCAAAGCATAGTCTTTATTTCATAATGACTTGTACCAACACAGATGAACTTTCATGCTGACTCATTGGGCTGTTGCAGTACATTATGTAGCAAGCTGTAGGACAGAGTTGAAATGGCTGGTCACCCTATATATGAATGTATTTGAGTAAGAATAAGCAGTGGTTTGTTGAGCTAGACCATGTGCAAGTGAACTAGTACTAGCGCTAGCCTCTATCATATCAGAATCCTTGAGCTGTTGCATTAATACATTACATTATGTTGCAAGTTGCAGGAAAGAGTTGGGGAGTCTGATCACCAATTACCATTCCTTTCACCGTCCGAACATGTCCGTAAGAGACTTGCTTCATTGTTTGTTTGTTTGATAACTTTGATTGTTTGTTTGCTTCTCTAGGTGACCGTCGACGCCTCCTGTTTCTCGATGACGTCCCTGAGCGTGGACCGGTACTTCGCTATCGTCCATCCCATCGCCTCCATCAACTTCCGGACCCCGCGATCCGCAGTCGTCATCAGCGCCGTCATCTGGACAGGTCAGTTGATATCTTTTTTCATATCCCAACATCCCAATATCGGTCTTTGTTTGTATCTTTGATTTTATTGTATCTTTGTACCGGGCCATATTGAAAATCAATTAGTCAAAATTGAACTAGGCCACCCAGGTGTCTGAAGACTAAATACGTAAATAAATAAATAAATAAAAATGTAATCTAAAGACGTGGTGACGGCACACTCAATTTTTTTTCAACTTATATTAATGCCGCCACCAACACAAGGGACAATACCATACTCATGTTCACCTGAGCGAAGTGAGGAGAGTCGTGTAAAGTGCCCTTCACAATCTTCCAGCCGTCATTTCGTACTTACTCGGATTCAAGAGGTCCCGGGTATCGATGGCATGTCAGGACTCGATCCGGGGACCTCTTGGCTCCGAGTCAAGCACTCTGTCGCTACGCCACACGACCCCGCCGTGTCAGTATATTTCTGTCGTAATTACTTGACTTACGTCGGATGCCTGTCCTCCTCTGCCACCCTAACCACCATGGCAGCCCAGTAGCTCCTGTTCTGCATAGCCTTCCCCGTGCCATCAGACTGAAGACCGGTGTCCCTTCGCAGCACTCTGGGTAGGCAAGGGGCGGTCTTCCAGGCTTCCTTCTCCCATGTGCTGGGGACCATATAGTACTAGGCTGGAGACTATTTCCTTGCTGTTTCTCAGAATTTGGCTCGTATCTTTGCCGACAGTTTTGTGAGTCCAGCGTAGCGCTATTTGTTTGTGCAATGACAGTAATGTTGTTCAAATTTTATATTTCTGTCTTGACGTACTTATTTATCTTTATTTGTAACGATTTGCCAAATTCGTGGTAGAATTGACATAACAGGTGACTATCACCTCTACAAGATGCGAACCCCGAGACCAAGACTGTAAGGTTTTAACCACTCACCGGGTTGATACAGAAAATCAACTTTCTGTATCGTCCTAATGTTATATAAAGCAACCAACTGTTGTATCCAAGCAGCAACCAATTTCCTGGTCTCCAAGAGACATTTATACCCATACCAGCAACCTTAATTGATTGACAGCACCAGTGGCACCCGGCTCAGCAGTGGTCATTTCAAACTGTGTACATCCGCAGCCATCGATACCGCTGATTTTATTCTAATAATAGAATAAGAAGCTTTTTTTTTTTTCATTCGGACTGTAATCTTCACATTGATAAGGCTACGGTAAAGTATTCAACTAAAGATAGATACGGTTGAAGACAGGTTACCATGTACTAATCATCAGGCCATCAACCATGTATGATAGATACGAAGTTCTTTATTCACAACTTTGCTATTCAATCATTCACCAACCTGGTGAAATTAGTCACGGATAAAAATAGGCACCATTATGAAACTACAGTTACCTTTAGTTACCACATCTACCACTGCACAAAATCGAATCTTTAAGCAAACCTTAAAGCAAGGAAACGGAGACTTAACGCATATTTCAAAACCCATAATGTTCGAATTAACTACTTCTGTGGAACCTATTTTCCTCAATCCCTTGGGCGGATGCTGAACACAGAGTTTACTGTAATTATTCTGAGTATCATATTAACAGTGATAAGATGCACAGAAAGATGCCGACGAATATCACCCCGGGACCCTCCGTAGCCTGAGAAGTGGAGTTACAGGTACCATGTCTGCTTGGTTGTTGTCGCCTCCATTCAAATAACCGCCAAACAGCTCATGTGTACGGAGAGCTATAAAGTCTTATGGCAGTACAACCTCCCAACATCTGCAGACACTGGACACATGCCTACAGAAACTACACTATAAATCAACTTAACGTAAATACGGTCTACCTTGCAATGACTGGTTGATTGCATTAAAATTTACATCATTGTTTTTTAAACATCAATTCGTGTATTTTCCTTGTATTTTTTGTATTTTTTTCGTGTATTTTCCTTGTATCTATTTTATCTCCACCAACCTTTCGTAAAAATATCCCCATTCTTTTTATTTTCAATTATCTCTCAACCAATCCAATGCAGCCCATCTCTTACATATAGCACCTCGTTAAAGGGCAATATACGCCGTTGATTGCCTTATTACGCCGTGCGGGCGCGCAGTGGCCGCTGGCAGGTTGGTATAATGTTACATCAAAGGCAGAAAGACCGACAAAACGCACGAGTAACTAACGTCCTGTCGATGTGATTTCAAACGCCATAGCTCCAGGCTCTCAGCCAATAACAAGTTACCATAGTGAGGCGTAAACACTGTTCAAATCGAATAGAACAACACTTTCTTTATTCATGAGAAGCTCCAATCTGCCTGTCGGTCGCTTTTCATCTATCAAAGTAACAACTGGAGAGCAGATGGGTTTCTATGATGATCATTTTTCTGAAGATACTTTTGAGAAGATGCAAATTAAGTTTCATTTGATGCCAGACCTTGTGGTGGTTACAGTTGCTGGCCTAATGCACCAAAAGCGTAGTAACTTGAATCAACTATATCCTATACATATAGCATTTTGATATCTGTGAGGGAAAATGCGATGTCGCTGACAGATCGAAAACGGTTGCTTATTTTGTATCTAGGATAGGTCTTGCTATTTATTGGCGTTATCATAAAATAAATGGAATCCTCACGTACCTTGTTTTGGGGCTATTTCAAACGCTTCAATATATGGAATGATGACGTAAATGTGCTAAGAAATGGCATCAAATGCAAATATCAGACCGATTTCCTCATCTTTTCTTTTGCCACTCTGAAATTGCATTGGATGTCTTTAAGCCACGGTTCTGTTGTTCTTAAGGTTCACATTATATCATTTACATTATTTTATTAACTATCGCGCTTATGTTTTACCGTGAGAGTGACCTTTATTTCTCTGACCTTGAGCTAAATGTTTCACCTTCAGTGGCCCTCCTGATCTCGTCACCGCTAGCTGTGAACTTTGACCTCGTTTACGTAGAATGGCACAGCCAAAACACCTACTGCATGGAAGTATGGCATCATTTACATTTTGTGTTTGTTTCAACTTTGTTTGTTTGCTTGTTTATACTTTATAAGATAAAGTAGCCTTAGATCTTTTGTTCTGTTTGTTTGTTTGTTTGTTTGTTTGTGTGCTTGTTATGTTTACCAACGCAACGGAAAACATTGTTTTTGCTCTGTTTTCTCTTACTCTTATTCTTCTCCAAACCAATAAGGTCAATGACCTGAACCAGACGTCTGTCACCATGGTAACTAGTGTTGGGTTACATCATGTTGCAATTTTATAGCAGGAGGGATTTGGACTCCTGTCTGACATATATAGTCTGACACATTCATATATATGAATGTGTTTAAGTAAGAATTAAAAGAGAAGACCATATGCGAAGGTAAATATTATGCATTTGCTTTGCAAATGTTCCCTTTCTAGTTTACTATTGATTTTGTAGTTTTAGATTTACTTGGCTTTTAAACATTTTTGTGGTAATCCACAAACAGCGCTGGAGCAGCCTGTACGGACAGATGGCCTACTGGATCAGCATCATGGTGGTGACCTACGTGCTCCCCCTAGCGGTGGCCTCATGGAGCTGCATGCGGGTTGTCCAGCAGCTCTGGGGCAGCAACGCGGTGTACCCTGGGATTGAGCAGCTGCCATTCCAGTTCCGACAGAAAGCCCTACGGAAGAAGCGAAAGGTATGAAACAAACACAAATACACCGTGTATGATTGCTTTTAACGATATGTGAATTGGGGCATCCCTATGATGAACAACATTGGTGTCATTAATTATGTTTACCGAAGGAAAACATGTTGTTTTTGCTCAGTTTCTTCCTCTTCTTCATCTTCTCCAAACAGTGACCTCTGACCTGACCAATGACATGATTTGTCTGTCACCATGGTGACTGGTGTTTTGTTACATAATGTTGCAATTTTATGGTCTGCTCTACTCCTGTCACAATATTCTAGTAGTATGTGAATGTGTTTGAGTAAGAATTAACAAAAGCAGACCTTGTCCGAAGGTAAACATTATTCATTCATTCATCCATTCATTCGTTCATTCCCTCCATCTCAGGTTTGCCTGATGATCGTTGCCATGGCACTGATGTTTGCCATCTGCTGGCTGCCAAACCACGTGATCATCCTCTGGCAGGTTTGCACTTCAATTTGTCCTCCCCATACATAGCATGCCAAAAACTGGGGGTCTTCAGAGTCTTTGGGATCTTTTATGTGCTATTCTGATTGCATATAGACAACATTGCCGGCCTGGTTGAATTACCCCCGTTTTTTGAACTGGGCTAATCAGGAAACAGCCGAATACCACCAAACCCCCAGTTCTATAAGCCTGCTACTGAGGCTAATCGTCCCCATACATAACTGATTTCCGCTCGTAGCTAAAACATTTCGACGTCACTCATCCTGTCGAACCAGCACGGTGAAAGCCGCCTGTCAAGAACACACTCGAGAACACGCGTTACCAAACTCCCGAGAGCGTCGGCTATTGTTGAAATGATTCCCTCTCTCCAAACCATCTGCACAGTAATTAAGAGAAACTCTGTAAACAGCTTCCATTACCAGGGATGGCAGTGTTGTGCTCGTGAATAGACTGTTAATTCTTCCCCAAACGTATTAGGAGTATAGTGTAGGTTGAACTTATACGTAGCCTCGACGTCGCCTCAACCAAGCCTTGCTATGGGGGTAAGGATCGTAGAATTCGGCAAAAAAGGGACGAATATTTGGCCGGGACAGTCAGTAAATTCGTCCCTTTCGTGTCGAATTCTACAAGCCCTACCCACATAGGAAGGCCTGGTGGAGGCTACATAAATACACATATATGTATTTAATAGTAATACCAAGTATTCCCATCTTGGGCCCCGGCCGCAGTTTTTTGAAAATGATTTCTTGTTTGTTTTATTTTGTTTTGTTTGCTTGTTTGTACGTTTTGCTAGGTTCTTGACCCGAAAGGATTCCCGCGCGACTTCTCGATGCACTCGGTGAAGATCTTTGCGGTGACCCTGACGTACCTTCAGTCCGCCCTGAACCCGATTCTGTACGTCTTCCTGGGAGAGGCCTTCAGGAAGAACCTGCGGAAGGAGTGCCCCTGCATGTTCAGGTTTGTTCAGTTACTAGTGACTCTTTCTCCTACCCTTATACTCCAGTTATCTAACCCAGGGAATTTAGCCTATGTAGGGCGGCGTGAATATGTGAAAATTAAGTTCATTGTCATTGTCGATGTCAATGTTAAAATCAGAGGCTACTTCTTTCTCTTTCGCTCGCAGAACAGTGATGTACCAATTGTTATGTCTTGTTAAGTCAAAGTTTATTGGAAGATGATATCGCCCCCCGTCCCGGTTGAGATAAGCTTGGTTTGTACTGTTAAGTCAGAGGGTACTTCTTTCTCTTTCGCTCGCAGAACAGTCGTGTACCAATTGTTAAGTCTTGGTTAAGACAATGTTTATTGGAAGTTGACATCGCCCCCCGTCCCGGTTGAGATAAGCTTGATTTGTACTGTTAATTCAGAGACTTCTTCTTTCTCTTTCGCTCGCAGAACAGTCATGTACCAATTGTTAAGTCTTGCTAAGTCAAATTTTATTGGAAGTTGACATCTCCCCCCCCCCCGTCCGGTTGAGCTAAGCTGCGTTTGTACTTGATTGTACAATTTCGTTGTTCCTTTCACAGATCCGGTCGCGTTGGTTCCAACCGTGAGGCGGGGACGGGAGCGGGGACCGGGGTGCGCCCGTCCGCCGCCAGCCGGCCCCTGGAGCTGGGAGCTCCCGCCTGCAGCCCGGCCAGACTGAGCGGCCACCAGCAGCCCGTGGTCCCGGCCAATCCCAACAGGATCGACCTGGAGCTGCGCCCGATCTCCCACAGCACCAACAGGCCGTCCTCGCCCGTCTCCAGCAGCTCAAAGCAGTAGGTCCATTTTCCAACCGTCTGATCCAACACGGCCGGGGCGCGGACGGGCAGTTTGTGGAAACGAAAAGTATGATAAGACGACAAAAAAGTTGAGAAAATGAGTCATGAGCGCCATTTGCATATATTCTTGACATCATTATTTTTTTGTTCATCCCAGCTCAGCCCCAATTTTGAAATGTGATCTTAGCATAGTGTTCTTACGGGAGGGCTTTGACGTGTTTTACCGCCCAGGTCTAGCTACATGACATTGTACAAAGAATAGGTAGGCGAAGTACTAGTAAATCAAATAGTTTTCGACAGGACATTTTGTTCATTTGCCGCTGTAAATTCTTTTCGCGTCACTCAATCTTCCTGCTAATTTAACCATTACGATTCTTTGTCATTCCAGGCGCCCACTTGTGATGCCGAAAGCAAGCACCTCCATGTTTATACGGCGTCGAGGATCCTGCTGCAATCCCGCCATAAACCTCAAGATGGCGCGCGTGCAACCCGCGATTGTGACCAGCAAGGTCTGAGCATGACAAATGGAAAAAAAATCACCAACGCTGAGTGAAATTGTGAAGCGTGGTCGTAGAAAGATTTGAGGGTTAGGTCAAGCTCTAGGTGTAGGGTTTAACATGAGTCTTGTAAAATTGTGTATCAACTACAAGGGTTAGGTACTGTACATACATGTACATTCTCAAGATATAGTATGCATACATTACGAACGTCAGTCAGTGATTATGGCGAAAGATGGATTCTGCTCGAGTCGTTAGCGATCCTGCTTCTACACCAGAAAGTCAACGGTTCGAATCCCGGCTGTTATGGTCTCACCCATCTTGCACGCCTAGCCTATTGGAAAGAGTTGCTGCCACAATGATGGGTCATGGTGTACCCACTGTATATTGCACTTTCCTAAAATACCCTAAGGAGAATTTCCCTGCACGTTGAACATGTATATACTGTAAATAGCATCCATCAGGCCACAACTGATACAATAAGAAATACAAACCTCCGGGTATGTAAGTATATAATTCATAATGTTCACAACATAACAATCGCAAGCATATCATAATTATAATACACACTTAGGGAGAGAGAAAATAGATCTACACTCCCTAAGTTAATTTCAACACCTAAAGAAGACTCTGGCTCATGTATACTAATTTGTTATGCTCTTCAAACTGAGGTTTAGAGCTTCGGCTTTTTTTGGGATGTGTTTTTTCTGAACTTGTATCCTATTCGCCTTTTCTGGCTTATTGGATACTACCCTACCAATGATACTGTCTTGCCGATTTGAAACTGTTTATCAGCCACCACAATATCTGCTTGGAAAGTGAATTTGTTGCACAGCATATAGGAGACTCTGTACATACAGCACCCCAAAAATCTTATTTGTACATAAAAGTAGACTTGCACGTGGTATTGAGCTTAGCATGAAAGTGATGATACCTGACGGCAAGGTAGACATGATGTTAACAAATGTAGCGTAGCATGAAAAAGTGTTGATACGTGATGGCCAGAATCTGATGGTTCTGGGTTTGAATCCCTGGCAGGCCCCAGTGCCGTGTCCTAGGGAAACGTCTCTAAGGCCACACCAAGTAAATTTTATGGATGACGTCCTTTGGAGACCCTAAATCTAATGCGAGAGGGCGAAAAAAAAAACAAGAAGGGCCCTAAAAAACAAGATGCCTAGATTAGAAATATACTAAGAGACGACAAATATTAGGACACAAATTGAATGAGGTGACACAGTGTAACAAGCAAGAAGTCTTTTATTTATCATCAAAACAGCAATATTAATAAATCAGGTGGAACGGTGGACAGTGAAAATTTTTTTGTTATTTACAGGATCAATAGACACTTTCTTCGCGTTACGGGTTTCACATCAATCTGGTGATTTGCGGCAATGTCGTGACTCTTTGGTCATAGTTACAGGAAGCGGAATTTCTTGGGTTTTTTTCTAGGAACAGGCCAAAATCAATGCGCGCGCGGACGTCATCCATAAAATTTACTTGGTGTGGCCTAACACCCATTTGCCTTGCTTGACTCAAGAGAAAATGAGTGAGTACCTAGCGTCAATTAGGGTCGTCCTCTTGGATGGGACGAAAAGTTGGAGGTGTTTCAGGAGAGCCACACCCCGAGCACGTTAAAGAACCCACCGCACTTATGGAAAAGAGTAGGGGACCTTCCCCGGTGTGAGTGGTTCAAACTTTACAGTCCGGTCTTATGCAGCTTGTACTTAGTGTACCGGTGTGGATTTAATCGTCCAGATTTAATAATCCATTTCGTGGATTTTCATGACAATCCATCCATCCATTAAGTTATGCTGACCACCAATATGCAGAAACACAGACACACGCACGCACACACACACCACACACGCACGCACACACGCGCACGCACACACACTGACAAAAACAAGTGCGTGTAACTATGAGCGATGTAACAAAAGAATTTGTAGCAGAAGTAATGTAGTATTTGCTCTGAAAGTGATGTCAATTCGGTTTTAAATGTGTAACGAAAGCAATAGCAGAGGTGTTTAACAGATAGGGCTGTGTACCTAAAATATCTGGAAGGTGGTCTCGTGGTTAGGGTAGTTGTCTCAAAATCTGAAGGTTCTGGGTTCAAATCCCTGGCAGGCCCCAATGATGTGACCTGGGGAAATTTGCTCCTATTTAAATCAGGTAAAAATGAGTACCCAGCTTCGGTTAGGGACGTCCCTTTGGACGGAACATAAAGCAAAGGTTGGTGTTTGAGGACAGCCACACCTCAAGCACGTTAAAGAACCCACCGCACTTACCAAAAAGACCAAGGGTCCCTCCTGATGTGAGGGATTCAAACCTTACAGTCTGGTCTCAGGGTTAACAACTTGAAGAAGTGAGTCACCTGTTATGTTGATCGTCCACTATGTGTGGTAAATCTTGTTAAATAAACAAATATTTCAGGAGATTTGGTACAGGCATTAGGAGGTACACAGCCCTAGGACTGTAACTAGTGTGATTTTTTTACTAGTGAATAAAGTGTGTAACAAAAGCAATTTATTTGCAATATCAGAGATGTGTGACCTAAAAAAATGTGACAATAGTGCAATGTAATGTGTAGGAAATAATGTGACAATATATGTTGATGAAGATTAGACACCCAGGAGATGAAAACTGTTATTCAAGCAACTTGACAGATTTTTGAAATCAGTTGCTTGAGTAATTTGCCAACAGTGCCATGTATGGAAATAAGACAATATTAGTGTATTAAATGTACATTGTATGTAATGTGTAGGAAATAATGAAACACTAGTGCCATGTAATGTGTAGGAAAATGAGACAATAGTGCCATGTAATGTGTAGGAAAAATGAGACAATAGTGCCACGTAATGTGTAGGAAAAATGAGACACTAGTGCCATGTAATGTGTAGGGAAAATGAGACACTAGTACCATGTAGTGTGTAGAGAAAATGAGACACTAGTACCATGTAGTGTGTAGGGAAAATGAGACACTAGTACCATGTAGTGTGTAGGGAAAATGAGACACTAGTGCCATGTAGTGTGTAGGGAAAATGAGACACTAGTGCCATGTAATGTGTAGGAAAAATGAGACAATAGTTCCATGTAATGTGTACGAATAATGAAACAATAGTGCCCGTGTGAGTTCTTTTGTTGAATGTCACTTTGGATCGTATGTGTTTTCGTAATACTGTACAGTGTTATTTTGTACTTTGTATACCCAGCACTGACTGAAACAGGTTTTTATATACCAGAGTGTAGTTGCTGGTGAAATAAATAAACTGAAACTGCCATGTAATAGGTAGCATGTCATGTATGACAAAAGTAACATGAAGGAAATGTCAGTCTTGTAACGAAAATGTATCAAAGGAAAAAATAAGAGGTCTGTGTCAAGCTTTTTCCATGGTGATACTCAAATCTTTGACAATGAACCCAGGCCGAGATAGACTCACTGTGATAGCTTTTTCCATGAAAACTAAAAGACACAATGTACTGTAACCTAAATAGGACTGAAGTACTATTGATGTATTATTATATTAGGGGTTCATGAGAAAATATTTCTCAACAAAAATGGTTTGTTAATAAAAAGACCTATATGTTTATTACCCCCAACCTATGGAGAAAGATATAGCTTGACTACATCACTCTTCTAGCAGGCACTTACCCAGCTGATTGTGTAACACTGGCCAAGAAAATATTTATGTTCTGTGTCCTTACTATTTTTTTAAAAAGATAATTTCTGACATGTATATACATATAGATTATCAGCCGTTTTCAGCTTGAAAATAAATGTGATATACATGTCAACCCTGTCTGGCATAGACTCTTTTCCTGCATGAATAGGTTAGATAGCAACGGTAGAGAAATCCAACCCTGTAACACCAAACTGTACAGGAAGCATCTTGCAATTGATACAAGGCATATTCTATTTTGTAAGGGGATATTCTATTCTAAGGGGGGTGGCCTTCAAGATACTTGTACCCGTGTGAACTTCCCATCCAACTTCTAATATTTTTTGTATAACATGCTCAATCCTTGCTATGTGATGTGATGTCGGCCCATACCACACAAAGTATGGTTTGAGGAGAGCCACACGCCCACACCTTGCGAGGAGTAGGAGTCCTTCCCAGTCCAGAGTTCTATATATAGCCACACCTATAGCAATTACTATTGCTGAAAGTCAGCCATTACAAACCCTTGTGAATTGTAAGCTCCTCATAATTCAGCCCATCTATGAAAAAAGAGTTGTCAGTCACTCGACGCCAATAACAACATAAAGAGACAGACATAATTTTTCATGTTTATTTCCGATGTTGCACAGAGGGGTTGTAACCAGATACAGCTGAGGATGATGGTATAAAGCACCCTCACTAAAATGGCTGATGTTACTTTTGTTGTTTTTCCACTTCTTCTCCAAGTTGTGTAGCCGTCATTCTGAGACAGTGGATGTCTTGGATGTTTGGTCAACATTGCATCAGAATCATTTCTGACACAACATTTGAAAACTTTAGGTGCCAACATGCTAGTAGAGGGACTGTATAGTTAGTTAGAAATGGTGGTGATCATTAAAGGTGAGAAATCTGATCAGCCAAGTTAGAGTGGGTGCTGGGTGTTCAGCTGTGGCAGGTATGCGGTGAGGGCAGCAGAAAACACACTACAGCTTGTTGAAGGCAGCCACGTCAACCGACTGGACATAGTCTTCGAACGCGGTGATGCTTTCCTCCAGGAAGTCTGTTCCAACCTGTCAGGAAAGTACAACAGGTGAGACAAGACGTTAACAGACATTTCGGGGCTCCAGACTAATTTTTTGAAGTTCATCCCAAGATTTGGGACAAACCAGCAAAAATCTAGGCACACCACTATGATCATCATATGAAACATTCATTTGCTAGGACATAGCACGAATATTGTGTCTTTTGGACATAAAAAGATGAAGAGTGGAAGTATCATCATCATCTGGGGGCTGCATTTGAGCAGACGACTGTGAGTTCCCTCCAGTTAGTATCATGATCAGATGCAGAGAGCATCTACGCAAATATACAGTCGTGACATGACTGTTGACCTTTGCAGTTTGCATATATACATTACATATAAACACTAGAAACTAATAATTATGATATAGTGATTTACCTTGTCATCCTCCACAACACAACTGATCTGTAACTTCTTGATGCCATAGGCCAGAGGAACCAACTTGGCTGTGGAGCAAAAAAAAGACAATTTTATGTTTGTTTCAGGTCATTTCATTAGAGAAATACAGCAAAAACACCAAAATCATTATAAACCGGAGCTCAAAATACTTCTATCTTCATACTTGCACAGGTTCGGGTAAAGAATTTAGAAAATCACCTGCACCAAACAAATTTTATCCGCAGTTAGGTACAGGTTGACATCAGAAATACCTGCACAGCTCCAATTTTACCTGCACTAACCTGCATATACCCAGTACATGGACCAGTGCAGGTTAGGTGCAGGTAGACATCAGAAATACCTGCACAGCTCCAATTTTATGTTTGTTTCAAGTCATTTCATAAGAGAAATACAGCAAAAACACAGAAAATCATTCTAAACCAGGGCTCAAAATACTTTTTTCTGCATACTTGCACAGGTTCAGGTGAATTTAAAAAAATTTACCTGCACCAGATAAAATTCACCCATACTGTTAGGTGCAGGTAGACATCAGAATAACCTGCACAGCTCCAATTTTACCTGAATTAACCTGCATACCCAGTACATGGACCAGTGTAGGTTAGGTGCAGGTAGACATTAGAAATACCTGCTCAGCTCCAATTTTACCTGCAATAACCTGCATATACCCAGTACATGGACCAGTGCAGGTTAGGTGCAGGTAGACATTAGAAATGCCTGCACAGCTCCAATTTTACCTGCACTAAGGTGCATATACCCAGTACATGGACCAGTGCAGGTTAGGTACAGGTAGACATCAGAAATACCTGCACAGCTCCAATTTTTACCTGCACAAACCTGCATATACCCAGTACATGGACCAGTGCAGGTAGACATCAGAAATACCTGCATAGCTCCAATTTTACCTGCACTAACCTGCACAACATACCAGTACATGGACCAGTGCAGGTTAGATGCAGGTACGTATTATGTACCATCACAAAGAAGAAGAACTAAAAGCTCACATGTTCCCCAGACCAGCCCATCTGTCTGGATGGAGCGGACAGATTTCTCCACTTCCGACATGTCGGTCTCGTCGTCCCACGGTTTCACGTCCAGGATGATCATGGACTTGGCGATGAGCGCGGGCTCTGGAAGGACACAACAGCGTTTGTTGTAAGAAATTTTTCACCTAAGGCCACACCAATTTAATTTGTTGGTTCTTGGATTCGCCTCTTGGTTTTTTTCTGATTTGCAAAAAAAACAAATTTGATTCTGGTCCTGAATCAACTGAAAAATGCTCATGTTTTGCCCCCCAACAGTTGAGGAAAGTCCTTTTCTTCCTAGTTGTTACAGTTTTCCTATCTATCATTGCAGTGGTTTGATTAAAAGTTCAAAATTCAATGTTTAAATTTTAACCCAGCCTTTTGTGTTGACTTCATGGCTCATTTTGTAGCATTTAAGCCTATAATAGGATGCCTAGACCTGTTTTTATTTTTATTTTTTTTCGTCCTGTCGCTTCATATTTTTTCTGAAAAATTCCGAGAACCAACAAATTAAATTGGTGTGGCATAATTATTCACCTGATCCAGGTCAACCCTTTCCAAGGGTAATTAAACAGTCATATGGTTGGACAGTATAGGCAGTCAGTATGAGAAGTTGTAACCATAAAGCATCTAGGTTTCTATTCCCTTGCCAGTTTGATCTTGAAAGCATTGACTGAACTACTGCTCACTGTTGCTGCTGAGATTTTGAGTCTGAGTATATAACTAAACTAAACCTAAGACAATAAGTTTGGAAACTTGATTTCTGTCATACCTATCTCTGTTGTTCTCTTACGAATTGCATTGTATTATAGTACACAGTGGCTCTGCAGGAGGCAAAGAGCAAAAGCTTTTCCTGTAAGTGGTAAGAAGACATTCTAAGTCTTAGGAAAAAGCTTTTGTTATAAGATCTTCTGAGTCCTATCTAAATAACTAGCCATATGGTAGAAAAACACAAAAGTTCACTTACTTTTGGACTTCTTGGCTGCGTAGGCGGCCAGACGTTCTTCCTTCAACTTTTCTGCTGCAGCATCAGCCTGTAACCAGACATAAAATGACTCAATGCTTTTCATTCATTCACTCATCTAAGCGACCTGGGCTCGTGTCAATATCAGACAGATATCCTCATCTAGAATATTTTTGTTTCGTTTTGTTTTGTTTTGCTGCCCAGAAATTGCATTGGACACCTTTAAGGTGTCTCATGTTGGAGTGTGATCTACCAGTAAAAATAGATAAAACTATATATAAAAGTAAATGCACAAGTTTACCTTCGCATATTGTCTGCTCTGTTAATTCTTACTCAAACACATTCATATGTATGGTGACAGGAGTCTAAATCTGTCCTGCTATAAAACTGCAACATGATGTAACCCAACACCAGTTACCATGGTGACAGACGGTCTGATTCAGGTATTTGACCTGGTCAGAGGTCAGTGTTTGGAACGGAAGAAGAAACGTAGCAAAAACAATATGTTTTCCTTCGATAAACATAATGAAAAAAAATGAAGCTGTTTACCTCATCATCAGATCCGAACAGATCGATGTCATCATCATCGTCGTCATCATCATCACCCCCTGCTGGTGCGGCAGCCCCGCCCTTCGGTCCGTAGTTACCCAGTGGCTGCTTCACTCCAGGCCAGCTGAACAACACACGCAGACATGTTCACATTGATATCAAAACTTCCATCAACATTTATCCAATGGGTTACAGTACATGTACAGGGACTGAAATATAGAACACTTAACAACACACAGAGACATGTTCACATTGAAATAAAAACCTCCATCATTTATCCAACATTTATCCACTGGGTTACAGCACATATGCAGGGACTGAAATACTGTGAGTAAATCACTTTATTTTTGCAGGGACTGAAATACTAACTTAGTATACCTACCTGACAAATTTTATCTGCACCATTACCACCTATGAAGTACTGTAATAGTATTCTGAACAGTTTTAGTATGATCTCGTAAATTCTGAGTGGTGCAGGTAAAATTTTGTTTGGTTTGGTTTCAATATCATGCAGGTATGTAGAAAGAGGATTTTGAGTGCTGTGCTTTGCACTCTTTCTAACTGACAGGACAAAAGGACGTGACAAACTGCTCATACAAGACTTAGTACATAGCCTCACCTCTGCCTCTCCTGTTTGTTGTATGATGAGATGTGGTTGAACCAGCGCAGTGCATGGCACAGGTCAGCAGAGGGAGCTCCTGACATGGCCTCAAACACCACCACGTCTCCCTGAGACGGCACATAGCTGTGGGCAAGGAAATATCAAGCATTTGTTAGAATTAGGAGAGTAGAAACAGAAAGACACTCCTGGCCCCGGGCCGGGATCAAACCCACGCCAAACCCGAGCACCAGCTCCGAACCCCAATGCTCTTAACGATTAGGCTAAAAGGTCTAGACCCTTCAGCCAATGTACCAACAAATAAAGGGTACTCTTGGATGTTAGGGGTTAGATGCATACCTGTTGGGGGTTAAATGCATACCTGCTACTAACTTTAATAGGGGTTAAAAATTCCCAGTGAAATAAAATCTAATGAAATACTTACTTTAATACATAGAATCTCTATCTTAAGTATGTCATCAGAGTTTGAGCTTTTACTTGGTTACTAAAGCTCTTTTCAACGCACATGCACTACCTCGTGCATTGACATGAGCTAAGCAAATACTGTATAAATTTGCGGATGTGGCATGCCCCCCTCCCCCTTTAGCACACCACGCGTGGCCCTATAAAACGGTCTAAAATCACGTATTTACTCACCCTTCGATGTAGCTACGGTCTGCAAGGAAGTCGTTCAGCTGCTTCTGTCCGTCCTTCGACTTGATGTTGCCAAATCCCATCTTGATGTGTTTTCTGTGGCGTTTTTAGCCGAAAAATGTTGGAGGAGGGAGCAAAAATGACTGGAGTCTGTCCGTCCCACGAGTAAAAGGACTGATCCGAAGGTCTGCGATGACGAAATCGCCTAATTTAACTCTAGCCAATCAACTGTAAGATGCTGCAAGATATTGACCAATCAACGCTGACTGCAATTTCAACATTCAGGGTACAAGTAATTCATGAGAGGTAGGTGGTTTTCTGGTGTTTCATGTTTAACACAGAAAAATCTTTTAACGACTTGCTTTTCTACTACAGGGGAACATAAGTATGTAGTATATCATCGTTCGCATTTGTTGTTATGCAAGCGAATGGACTGTTGGCGTATACAGTGCAAATCTAGCTAAAACCGATAGAGGGACCAATGTATTCAAGTTAACGTTTGATAGCAGAGGGCCTGTATGGAGGGTAGTGATTGCGAATTACGCAAAATTTTCGCCGCCAATTACGAATTGCTGATGATTACGACTTAACGATTTGCGGCTAATGTCCAATTACCAATAACGTTGATTTTTTGGGCGACTGCGTACGGATTTTGATGTCTAAAAAGGCCTGATTACGCCTTGCGAAAACGGGCATGCAGGCCCTCTTAGGAGTTTAAAAATGGCGGCATATTTTAAAGAGATGGCGGGTAAGTTGCCAACGGTAAGTTACTTCTTTGCCAAGTCCTGTTTTCTGTGAACATCGTCTTACTTATACTGTATGCTAGCTAGTTGCCGTGCGTCGAACAGGTTTAGTTTGGCACCCGTGAGTCAGGAAACTTGCGCACACTGATATCTCTATAGCTAGTGGGTCCGACTCCAAGATGGGACCCAAACAAACTGGCCCACCCGGCCGTCCACCTTACACACATGCACATACACAGCCACACTGCCGAAGTCCCCAAAAGGAGGATCACCCGACGACCGTTATCAGGATGAAAACTCTGGAATGAGTTGCTCCTTTTCTCGTACTAGCCCAATATGCAATATGCACCGCAACTTGTATTGTATTGTTGAACTGCATGGCAAATGAATACTGCCTGGCCAACTTCAATCATCGGATAACTCTTTGATGCCGCCACCACTCGGGATCTGCTTGGAGACTAGTCGGAGCTCCTTCAAAGTACACTCACATGTGTATACAGTTTGAAAAAGATATGCCCATAATACTAACACAATGCGCACAAGCTTAAAAAAAATATTTTTGTGAAAGGATAATTTTCTGCCATATCTGAACATTTATCTCAATGGTTACTATAGGTGTGTCATTGTGAATGTTTTCTACCATATGATTACCTTCCTAGCTATGACTCATTTCTGGTAGATAAACGATCACTCTCGTTCCAAAAGAAAACAAAGATTTATTGAATATCAATATCATGGATAGTACAACTGATTACATGTTGCTAGATGTCAACATATGGCCAGTCATCAGTATAAAATCAACTACCAGATCTTCACGATCGACATTTCATGTTTCTTGTCCAATACAACTTCAGGAAAAGTACAAAATGACAAATTGAAAAAAGAATATTGGTTATATTCGGTGTAGCATTTGTAGAATACAGTACATAGAGACTACCACACACTAGCACACACCTACCTTTTTGTAGCAGAAACAGAGAGTTGAGTTTTGTGTGTGGCCCAAGTAAGATTTGAAACGGCTCTATATCATATGAACTGCCACAAAACTAGAACACTGGTTTGGAACAACTGTTTGTTTCTTTGTTGATTTGTTTGTTTGTTTATTTATTTAATTATTCTGTGTATTAATCTGTGTCATCTCTCACTTCTGTGCAAAAAAAATAGTTTTTTTTAGATTAGATCATCAATTTCGTAGTGTTATCCTTTAAAATTTGGTACTGAGCTATTTGAGCTTGTTGTTAGATCCCTGCATTATACTTTATAGGTGTTCTGTCTCTAATCAGCCGTTAGATACGTCGTGAAGTGTTACTGACGCTACAAAGAGCGCTGGTGCCATATCTATTATTTGTATAAACATGATGCCAAGAGCGGTCTGATCAACAGGATCACACCCTATTGCGGTTAGGGTTTGCACACGTTTGCCTCGGATCTGACCACACTATTGTATCATCTCGTTTGCCACAAACACCTCCGTAAGACAAGACAAAACAGACATTTTATGAAATCGCGTACCAGTTAACACTGTTCATCTTGCACAAAAGTGCTACCCTTTTTACGCTATTACAGATCATTACATACTACAGATACTGAACCCGTCCTATCAATGTGCTAAATCGCATCTTTAAGAACATCTTCAAGCAAGCGTAAAGGTAAAATGCTAGGGAAAAAACGATGCCTTTACGCATGTTTTAAAGTGTGCGCAAAGAACGGATTTTATGCAGTGAGGCTTCTTAGTAATTTTTCGGTCTGACTTTCATGGCCGTCTCCTTGAGTGAGTACTCCCAGCCTTTCCACTTGGACCAGTAGACGCCCTTGCCGTAGGCGCAGTAGATGCCACAGCTGCCCAGGTACTCCCCGTTCAGGTCGGTGTGGCTGCAAGACCCGTACCACCAGCCACCCTGAAATGGACAGAAAGGAAAATACATATTTGATCCAGTTTATTTAGTAGGAGCTTATCCTCCACTGGTTGTGATATGTAAGGGACAGGCAACATGTACAGCTTACGATCTTTTAATTCCTTCTAGCCTTGTGGTCGTAGCCTCTAACAGGTTTGGGGAGGCGGCCGGAAAGAGCAGAAATCGGCCAAATAGAGAGATAAGCATGCCGGTGCGGCGAAATGTTCTTTCAACGGACACACTTCCTTGGCATGCTTATTTCTCTATTTGGCTGATTTCTGCTCTTTCCAGCCGCCTCCCCAAGCCTGGTAGAGGCTATGGTGGTCGTCCTATGCGAGCTGCAGTCAGTTTTGCCGTTTGCCAAGCCAGTACATGCATAGGCCGAGAGGGTCACCCGGTGTCTAGTCTATGTTAAAATTCCGTTGGGGACAGGTTGGCCCTGGAGCCGGAATTTAGCCTGGTATCCAGATCGCCTCATTCACTGAATATTCTTATACTGAATATTCTGCATGGAGAAACAATCTTTTGAGCGAAAAGCTTCTATATATACAGGACGGATGCCATGTTTGATTTACCTGGCCGAAGTCTCGGGCACAGTTCTTTATCCTGTTGGCGTCGTTGTCTCTGTCGATCGTGGAGAACTGTTGCCGATCGTTGCCGTACAGGAGGCCGATGGTCATGGTGTCCCCGGCGTTACCGGAGTAGCCGCGCTGGGACAGACGGTAGTTGTCGCTCTCGTCGGCAATCCTGGAATAAAAGATGTGCATTGCTTGGTCAAACTTTGAAGTCTCCTGCTCCAACACATGTAATTTTGACCAATGTTTCAACCTTGCAAGACATTAGCCTCCGTAGCAGGCTTATAGAACTGGGGGTTTGGTGGTCTTCGGCTGTTTTCTGATTAGCGGGGGTAATTCAACCAGGCCGGCTATATTGTCTATATGCAATCAGGAAATAGCACATAAAAGCTCCCGAAGACCCCCCAAACCACCAGTTTTTTGCATGCTGTGGAGGCAAGCAAAACATTCGGGGTGGACGGGAGGTTCAACCATGGCTGACTTGACATGACATGACATGACTGATGTTTCTTAAAAGGACAACCGTGTTGGGAGTCGAATTTTACTCAAATTCCACTCAAATTCGTTTCGATTCGAATTGAAAGGCAACAGATTATTTACGAACCGTCCTTGCCAACCTTGGTCGGTGTACTTCTTTCTGAATGTGTGACAGGGACTTAAGCAATTGCCCGTCAAGGAAAATTGTACTTACTTGAAGGACTCGTATTTAGCATATCGGGACTCCCCTTCCCAGCTGGTGAGGTCGATCCTGAGGCTGTAGTCTCCTTGGCTGTTGGTCAGGTGGTGGATTTTGTCGTTCCCAAGCCAGTAACTAGTGCTGGCCTGGCCAAACCCAGCCTTGTATTCCGCCCAGCCTCGGTTGAACGCGACGCTGCCGTCTATACGGCGCTGTGACGTGCAAAAAATAACCATGAAAATGATAACAACAATACAAGAGGACACCACTTACACTGTAGAATATATCTCATAGATATATATTAACATGTTTCAATGCTGGAGCGAGCCATCAATTGATCAGTTCAAAGCCGGGGTAGCCAGGTATTACGACTACGCCCTGCACCACACACTGACACAATAGAAGAAATTAGCGACAAGCTCACAACACTGTACATTATAGTATAACAGCCCCCTTTTCTGCACCGCGTTGTCATTTTTGTTTCTCTGTTTCATTTCACTTGTTTTTCAATTCGCAATACCGGTACCACCACCGGTAAAACCAGGGCAACGACATTTCTTCCTATGTCATAGATGTGCTAACAGGACAGGTGTCCCATTGACTTCCAACCCCAATGTGTGGCTTGTCTTCGTCAATGCCTGCACGGACTGGGCTTATGCGCTTAAGACAGATTTCCGAAACCCTTGAAGACAGTCTTAGGTTTCTGGCAGTGCCCCAAGAATTGTCTGGCAGCGCCCCAAAATTGTCCTAATCATGTTTGTAACAGAGGTTCAGTGGTAGGGTTGCACCTTCTAACGACGTGTCAGCGATCGTTAATTTTAACCATTAAAAAATTAGCTTCTTCAAGAAGGGACGGGAAGCTCCGCACACTCTTTTCTGTCACAATGCATGTAAATTTTGTACATTCTCGACTGTGGTTTATGTCTAAAAAAATGTCTTCGGTTTACTGTTGTAAAGTAAACCTATCGTACAACGGCGTGCATGCGACTCTGCATTGCACTATCTTCTCTCATTACCATTCGTCTCAGGCATCATGCTTCGAAACAGAGAGAGACAGAGAGTGAGAGAGAGAGAGAGAGATAGAGACAGTACATACATAGGCCGGCCCCCTGAATGAGAGAGATAGCTAGAGGGAGAGAGATAGAGAGGGGGGGAGGGAAAGGGAGAGAGAGAGAGAGAGATGTCCCCTTACCTGGATGAGAGTCCAGCCGCCTCCGTCCGTCTCCATGTCGCAGTAGACCTCGAACGAGTCGCTGACGCCGGCGGGGGT